AGCATTTCTATACTGTACTTTCATCCCGTCTGCACGTTTTTTCGTCAAAAATGACAGGTGATTTTTTTGCGAGGTGCTTTTCCCGTTTTTGGGAAATGTTCTCTGGCATTTTGCACTTTGCAAGGTTTTAGGCTGAGACAGTATTTTAAGCTTAGGCATGGGCTTAGATTTTAAAGCTTGAAAGGGCTAAACTTGTAAGAAACCCCGAATTTTAGACGCGCTAGTCCCGAATCCGGGTTAGCAAGGCAGTCAGAGTGACCAATCCCCGGCTTTATCTTCTCCCTAGGGGCCCGTTTTTTGGAGGGTCTTTATTTGTGCGAACTCTGCGAGTGCTTCGAACCCTAGAACCCGAAGAAGGAAGACGGAGAAAAGATTATATCGTTGAATTTACGTTTCACAAAAGTTTTGGGGGCCCCCAATTTGGGGGGTTTGGTTTTTTTTTTTCCCCCTTTTTTTTTGGGCGAATGGATGTTTGATTTTTTGTTTTTGGGGGGTGTAATTTTTTAAATTTTAAAAATTTTTTTTTGGGGGGTTAAAAAAAAATATAATGTTGAAATACCAAAAAAAAATAAAAAAATATTTATAAAAAAAAATTTTGGGAAATTTGTTTTAAAAAAAAAAATGAAAGGGAAAAATTTTTTAAAAAAAAAAAAAAGGGTGAAAAAAAGAAAATATTTTTGATTTTTTTTTTTAAAAGGGTTTTTATTTTTTTTTTTAAAAATGTTTTAAAATTTTGAAAAAAAAAAAAGATAAAAAAATAAAAAAAAATTTGTTGAAGGATAAAAAAAAAAAAAAAAAAAAAAATATAAAAATAAAAAAAAAAAAAAAAAAATAAAAAAAAAAAAAAAAAAAAAAAAAGAAAAAAAAAAGAAAAAAAAAAAAAAATAAAAAAAAAAAAAAAAAAAAAAAAAAATATAATAAAGGGTTGGGTTTTTAAATTTTGGTTTTTTGGTTTTGGTGGTTGGGGGGGGTGGCGGGGGGGCCCGCCGGGGGTGGCCCCGGGGGGCCCCCGGGGGTCCCCCCCCGCGGTTGCCCCCGGGGGGGGGGGTATTTTTTTTTTTTTTTTTTTTTTTTTTTTTTATAATTATTTTTTTTTTTTTTTTTTATAATTTTTATATATTTTTTTATAAAAATAATTTATAAATTTTTTTTTTTATTTTTATTTTTTTTATAAAAAAAAATTTTTTAATAAATGTGTATTTTTTTTTTTTTAATTTAATGATAATTTTTTTAGAAAAAAATATATATAAATTTAAAAATTAATAAATAGGCTATTTTAAAAAAAAAACAAAAAAAAAAAACAAAAAAAACTTTTTTATTAATTTTTTTTTTAATTTTTTCTTAAAATTTATTTTTTTTTTATTATAAAAATAAATAATTATTAAAATAAAAAAATTTGAAAAAAATATATAAAAAAATTAATAAAAAAATTAAAAAAAAATTTTTTTGTTTTTTTTTAAAAATTTTTTAAAAAACAAAAAAAAAAAATAAAAAAAAAAAATATTTTGACTTATAAAAATCTATTAATTTTTTTTTGTTTGGTTAAAAAGGGGGGGAAAAAAGGTGGAGACAAATTGTGTAGGGGTTTTTTTGGGGGGTTCGCGGGCGGCCCTTAAGCCCTTCAACCCGAAAATAAACGACCTCCGCCTTCAAATTACAAAGAGAAAGCTAAAGCTTTGGCGATTTAAGAAACGCAAGGATTTCTATAAATAATAGTGCACTGTAGTCTCTATTTCCGAACTTTATTTATCAAAAAACACCCATGTTCCGAGTGGGCTGCCGGCGAGGACAAGCGTGCCTAATTCGAAGCGCCGCCCCCGGGTCGGCGTGGATAATTAAAAATTGGCGCAGAGTTCGGACTTTTTTTAGAGACATCTCTAACTATTTCTCTTGCGCTTTCGCTCTTTATTTCTCATTCTCTCTCGCTCTCTGCTCTCTCTCTCTCTCTCGTGCTCTCTCGCCCTCGATATCCATCCTATAAGAAACAGCAATTATCCACCGGCGCGGTGGTGCCTAATTAGCATAAATAGAGAGGCCGGGTGGGTAAAGATATCCCAGCCCATGTGGTAGCATGCGCCCTAGAATGAACTTTTTAGGGGAAAGCCCAGCGAGTCCAGCGAATCCAACGCTTCAAACGAACAGCTGAAAAAAAGTCAAAAACACTTAAAAATCCAATAGCCTCTAAAATCAGGTCCTAAATATCTATAAATCCCTATAAAATAAAAAAAACAAAAAAAATAAAAAAAACAAAACAAAAAACAAAACAAAAAAAAAAAACAAAAAAATTTATTGAGATAAGGAAATAAAACCAGGTCGAAAAAGTGAACCAGTTAAGTAATCTAAAGCTCCAAAAGCATTATTTTGAGGGGGATACGGTAGTGTCACGCTGGAAAACATCCGCCGATTAGAACGAGAACTATTAGAACCGAGCCAAAAAAAACTAGAGCTCAAGATACGCGCCGTGATTAGCAATTCGATGGGCTACAGACAAAGCACCAGAAGGCCCCATGGCCAGGTGCTTGCAGCCCATAAGGCGCGAGGCTTGTGATATACGAAAAAACGCTAAAAAGTGCATTATTGGGCCATTTAGAGGGGTGGCGTCAGCGGGGGTATCGCCGCATAGGCTGCGTGTGGGGGGATGGAGCCATTTAGCACAAGGTTGACTACAAATTTGCAGGGAGATGATCGGAAATTGGGAATATGTGGAAACTAGAAAGCGAGAGAGAGAGAGAGAGTGGGAGAGCGAGTGAGAGAGAAGAGCACAAGAAGCCCACTCCCCCGTTCCATCCCCTTGAACCAACAAAACCCTTCGGACCAAACTCTGGCCTCAGCCATCTCGGTGAGCGAACTCCACCCCAATATCTTCGACCCCGGGCCTCCCATGAAAACACTGAAAAGCAAAAAAAACGCGGCAAGAGTTCTCCGGCCTAACGGGCTCGCGAGTTTCCGGAAAAGGATGATCACGGGCATATTGGCAATTAAAATGGACCCGAGGGCCCTGAGGGGGACCCTGGGCCCCTCCTAATTTTTCCGGGGTAGCCTGAAGAAATTTGGTTTTTAGGTTTTCCGGGGGGCCAATTTTTTTTTGGGGCAAAATTTTATTTTTTTTTTATTGGGTTTTTTTTTTTTTTTTTTTTTTTTTTTTTTTTTTATTATGAATAATTTATTTTAAATTTTAATTTTTATTTTTATTTTTGAAAAAAATTTTTAAATTTTGGGGGGGGGGGGGGGGGGGTAAAAAATTTTTTTTTTTTTTTTTTTTTTTTTTTTTTTTTTTTTTTTTTTTTTTTTTTTTTTTTTTTTTTTTTTTTAAATTTTTAAAAATATTTATATTTATTTTTTTTTTTTTTTTTTTGGGGGGGAAGGGGGGGGAGAGTTGGGTTTCGGTTTTCCGGAAACCAAAGAAAATTTCGACCTAAAATTTGCGCGCGTCACCGACACCCCGGGGTGGGGATGGGCGTTCTAAATAAGGATAGAGCGGGCCGCGTATGCTAGCGGCAGTTTTACAGGATATTCGTCTTCTGTGCTTTAGATCTGAAAAATCAAATGACACAAAGACTTCCTAAAAGCACTCCACGTAGAGCTTTCCACAATACCTTTATTCACAAGCTTCACACAGGAAAGTTAGTCAACACAGTTTTCACAACGTATCACAAAAAGGAATCACAGAAATCACATAGATGAATCAAAATTGAAGTGTCAACAAATCCTCAAGATAATCACATGCCTTTGCGGGTTTTGGCTGTTCCCGAATAATAGAACGATCGGCCTCACGTCGGCTTTCCTCGAAGGCCATCTAGAAAAAGGTAACCTCTCTGAAAAATTGGTACCTGTAGCAAAACGTCCTCGCTTTTGGCAACGGCTCGTTCCGCCTCTTGTAGACTAAGTGCTAGCGCCATCTTCAGCTGCGTTTCTTCGCTTAGCGGCAGCGTCTCTATCCGACTTCCAATCCCAGTTGGCTGCGTTCGGATAGTTGTTCGGCTATTGTCGGTACCTCGTGTACGCGCACTAAAGCAACGATCATGCCTTCTCTGGAGCCAAAAACTATACCCATCTCGGACCTGCAGGCGGCGCCTTCGTTCGTCTTGCAAACGCACCTCATCACCGAGCAACGCTACCAAATGCTTCGCCTAAATGGTGGTTAAAACACTTTTAAATTCAACCTTTTCTCGGATAGTCAGCCCCTGGTCATGATTGTGTTCAAAGCGTTGAAAATCCTTCAGTGTCTCGATGGCGCACAAATTCTCACGGCACTCTTCCACTATCTAAGAAAAAGATTGTTGCAAAGCTGCTACTATGGTCTACCCTCATGCTGCCGTTCTTGATGAGGAAGTCGAGGAGAACGAGGCTCTTGTAGACGTGGCGCCAATTCTTGCCGTGATCGCCCAATCGCTTCCAAATGATGCCAAGTACGTCGCCCAGGGCGGCCGGCCGTAGCGTGATTTCGGCAATCTCACTCATCAGTGCGGTTGAGGGGCCCCAAGGGTCGTTGCTGAAGAAGGGAAAATCTAGTTAAATAAATCTAGTAAACCTCGTGGCTTCGCGTGCCTTGATCTGGGCATCGGAAAGGTTATACGCCGCGTTCTTGACTTGGCGTCGGATCGTCGACAGGGACATCGGCCTGTATTTACACGTCATAAAGTAGCACAACATCAATTAATTATACTACACAAACAAAACTATTCAAGGATTGCTATATTTTCTGAACATTTTTCTGGGCCTGGATGTCGCTGAATAGTTTTGTAATTTATAAAAGAAATAGTATAGATATTTCACTAGCCAAGCAATATATTTTTTGATATTTTTAAGGGGAAACCTGTACCCGGATCGGTCTTGCGAAACTTTCAAACATTGTTTATTGTAAACCTATTGAACAACAGATATCGTAACGATCAAGAAAAGCAAAAAGTAAAACATAACAGCTTGGGCAATCTAGGATCTAATAAAGGGGGAAAGAGCTTCATGTCCTCGAGAGCAGAACGTTGGCGTCGCGTCGCTTATTGCGGTTGTGTGGCTCGGAGGGCTTTCAGTTGGTTCTCGACGGCGGCCGCCTGGAAAACAAAGAGGATAAGAGAGGGATAGTGAATTTCTACCTGATCATGCATGCCCATCTGGCGATAATATTGGATCCATTGAGCCGAGTAGTCGGGCTGTCCGCTCGCCTGATTGTAGATGGTGCCCGGCTGCTGCTGCTGCATGGGTGCCACTTGCGGCTGCTGTTGGACCATTGACGGGGTGTTGTACGGAGCCGGGGCGGTGACGTATTGCGCGGGTTGGCCGTAGAAGGGTTGCATCTGCTGTTGCCATCCCACGTTGCCCATCGACATCGCGGCTAAAAAGCTGCGTTACGACAAAAAATTAGCCAGATCTATCTTTTTAGTTTTGCGCTACGACTCAAGTGGTAAAACTATTTAAAAAATGCAGAAAACTTTTTCAAACTCCCCTTAATTCCTGAAAATCCTAAAAATTCCCTATTTTCAGATTCTAGCACTTTTAGGAAAAAACGGTTCCTCTCAAAATTGCGAAAGACCCCAAGGCTGATTTATGGAAAATAACGAAGAGAGTATCAGAATCTGTAACATATTACCTTGCGGCTGCTGACAGCCCAGATTCCAGTTAGCCACGGGTGCACCATTGTTCACGGCAGCCATTTGTGGAACTCCATAGTTGGTAGTTGGGCGCGAGTAGTTTGCCTGTTGCATTGGACGACCGCCGGGACCGCCGGGGCCCGAGAACGGGGGCAGTGGAGTGCCAGGAGGAACGTCGCCAACCTAAAAAACATGGTAACACTGCAACCTAGAAAAGCGGTCACCCTGATGCGGATGAGATGCTTGGCGTGGTGGACTTGATATGGCGTGCCCTTGATCGTGAACACCTTCTCGTCGTCTTTGGGCGGAGGGTCGTTTGAAAGTTGGCAATGGGCACCCGATTCAGCGCTGATCTGAAGAAAGCAAAAAATTATTTTTTTTTGAGAGGCCGTACGTAAACCCTATGTAAAGGGTAAATTTAGCCATCGTCGAATGGCTTTGTAAATGAAATATAAAACAATCTATCAAAAAAGGCACCTGTTTGATCGTCTCGCCGCCCTTTCCAATCAGCTGACCAGTCTTGGAGGCCGGCACGTGCATGTAGAAGAGCTCCGGACCCTGATCGCCGCTCTGCTAACCAAGATTGTGGAACCGTTCAAAAATGTACCGCAAACGATCGGTTGACCAATTGCGTGATGGCCTGGGTGGCTCGCTCGATGTTCTCCATGGTTCCGACCAAGACAGCCGTTCGCTCGCCCGAAGCCGGGTTGACTAAAGCGAAATTAGGGGTTGATAACTCGAGCACTGACCATCCGGCTGGAATTGGATGCGAGCACCGGTTTCTTGCGCTATTCGTCGGATCGTTTCACCGCTGCGTCCGATGATCATTCCGACAGCAGAGCGCGGGACGACCACCTAAAACGAACATGCAACATTTCAACAAAAGTTTTGATCCGTTAGCGACAGAGCTAAGTTTCTTTATTACGTCCTTGTAATGAAAATGTACTAATTCTAACACTTTCCGATTAATAAAGGTCCCGAACACATGAAATAGCCCTCAAATATTAAATTTTTGAACCAAGAAAACCACAACTTTCAAAAACTTTTTCTGTATTTAAAAGCGCTACAAAAGGGCTTCTATTCCTTCCTGAAAGCCTATGGGGGGGAGGAGGAAATATACGTCGCTGCGCCAAAGAATCAATACCAAAAAATTAATACCTCGCCACGGGCAGTGGCTTCGACAATGCGCGTCTTCAGGAGCATTCCGTCCGGCCCTCCGACGAGCATCGATTCGATCAGCTGCTTGGCAGCGGCCACCTTCGTCGGGGTGCCAGTCATGCGTAGTGGCTTCGGCTGTCCCTGGTTCGTTTGTTCATTTTGGACGAGCGCCATCCGGATGCCCGTGCGCTCCTGGAAACGGCATGAAAATTCGAAACGAGAGCTGACCTGTAGTTGTCGAATTGTGTCACCCTGCTTGCCGATGATGAGTCCGCATTTGTCGGCTGGGATCAACATATCTTCAGTGATTTGCGACGAGCCCTTGGGTTGAGTATGAATTCGATCGCCATGACGGCCAATGACCTAAATAAATTGTTATCTTATCTAGTTTTAAATTGAAAACTCACGTCAATGATCATCTGCTTGGCCCTCTCGACAGCCTGACTGTCTCCCTGTATGCTGCAGCTGCGCATGCCGTCCCCGAGGCCTTCAGGAGCCATTTGGACCCGAGCGCCGGACGACGCCTGGATTTGCCCCACCTGCTCACCGCCGCGACCGATAACTAAATGAATACGGCATGGAAAGCACAGAAATCGCGTTACAGAAATGGAAACCCAGAAAAATGTACCTAGTCCAACGGCTTGCTCGGGGACTTGGACGATTTCGACGACATTGTTTCCAGACACCATGCTCGACGTCACCTCTAGCTCGATACCCGCCGGCTTGTCTTCGGCTGAAAATAAAAGAATGGCTAGAAAAAGGCTTGCGCACCTGGTGTATCCAAGTAGTCGGGCGTGGTCCTCTTCATTTCTGCATCGTGCTCCAGCGTGCCGTCGTTTTGGCGCTTCCTACTGAAAATTTTGGACTCACAACAAAATCTTCGGAGCATCCCCGCTAAATAAAAACGACGCGCGGTAAGGACGAAATTTGAATCGTAGAACAAAAGGCGTGGTGAGAATATTTCGAAAACAATACAACAAAACAGTAAGCCAAAAGTTTTGCATAATTTCAGACATTTCAAGCAGTTTATTTATGAAAATCGTATTGACAAAACAAGGAAGTATTCCAGTCAGATATTGCAAAAAGCATAAGAAAGCACAAAACTAAGGCGTAAGTTACCATTGCAAAACTCACCCATAGTCAATGCTTTCTTCAAAATTCATGCCGAAGTTTTTGGTGGATAACAGGTGGCCACTAAAAGTGAATGAATGGGATGAATGAAAGGAAAAATGCCATCGGCGATGATCGGAAGGAAAAAAAAGACTTTTCGCGCAAAAATCGGGAGCGAACCTCGCGTGCCGTCTTTTGCACTCCGCGACTGTTCGCAAAGTTCCACCACAAGACCGTGTAACAAAATAGTTTGTAACAAACAAAAATAGTAAAATAGTGTAACAAAATGATAAAAAAAATAGAAAACTTATAGAAAAAATAAAAAATAATTTTCAAATAGTCGAAAAGCGCAAAAAAATGTGAGGCATTTGAAGTTTGTATTAAATGGAAAATGATTCGTTTCTACTATTTTCATCGTAAGGCACATAAAATATTTTAGCTTTTCTCTCTTTCTATCTATCTCTCTCACTATTTCTTTTTATCTATTTCTATCTCTCTCCCTCTCTCTCCTCTCTCTCTCTCTCTCTCTCTCTCTCTCTCTCTCTCTCTCCCTCTCTCTCTCTCTCCTCTCTCTCACTTTTTCTAGTGCTGCTCTCAAAGAAGCGCTGTCTTTTCCAGGCATAATTGCCCCCGAAAGCATTGCAGCACACTGCATTCTCGAACGGCGTCCTTTTTCGCATTTTAGCAGGCTGTGCTCTGCCAGATTTCCCGGTTTTTTGTCTTCCCGGGGCCTTCTTATGTAGTAACGCCAAATTTCACTACTATTCCTTATTATTCGGTGTTTCGCATATCCAAGGCAGAAAAGGGGGTCCGGATGGGGCCCAGAATTGGTCATAAACCTCCCTGGGGACCTCCCTTGTGCCCTCCACCAACGCACCTCAACGCCCTTTATATTTCCAGCCACAAAAAAGCCGGAAAGAAGCCCGTAATCCTAGCGTTTCTCCCCGGGGTCGCCTATGTAAACGGGTCTATTTTTCTCTTGGCGTTTTGCTTTCTGAAACCCCATCGGATTTGCTATTCATAGAAATCGTTTCCTCAGGCGCGTCCGCTTTGCTTTGGAGTATCTGCAGCCATTTTCCGCGATGCTACTGTGTTCGTTTCTGCTTCTCCTACTCCCGGCATTTGCGTACATCCCAAAGAAGACAGCTCCTCAGAAGGTGGAGCGGAAGGTGGGTCGGCTACCCAGTACCATGGTACTGGATTGCTAGAGCGGAGGGGCAGTCTAGAAAAATTATTAGCGTGTTGGGGGGGGGGGGGTATTTTTCTAGTTTTTAAACGTTTTTGGGTTCCTTAAAGTAAAAACAACAACATTTTGCGCTAGTTGAAGTTTCAGATTCAGAGCTTTTAGATGTACCGTGCCCAGATCCCGGTCGACGATTTGGCTGGTTGCCCATTTTGCAACCTTGAGCGCTGCGGCTCGATGGGCTTTTGTTATGTGGAGAAGCATCGGTTGGAGGGTGAGTAGGTCGGAAAGGGTCGATTCCGCTTCTTCTGGGCCCCGTTAAAGAACGTTAATTCAGGGAACCGTGGCGCGGAGCATTGTACGGATCGTGAAGGACTGACGGTCCTCGTGCGAGATCCACTGGTGGTCTGGGCATCCCGGGATGCATGTCAACCATCCCTACACGACAATGACATCGCCTTCTGCTGGTGCGCCAACGTCACCGAGTGGGTTTTCTCTCTCTCTCTCTCTCTCTCTCTCTCTCTCTCTCGCCATTCAAGAAATAATTCCGCATCAACACTTTATTCAAATACGGGGCGGAGTTGTTGCGCTTTTTTGGTTTGCTGGCTGTTTAAGATGGCGTTTTCGGGCGTTGGTGCGTGAGCTGCTCGGGCGTGTCGGTTTACTGGGTGACGAACTTCACCTGGAAAAGTGGCATTAGGAAGAGCTGGAGAGAGAGGTCAGGGAGAGAGAGCGGCAGGCTTACCTCAAACTGCTGAAGTGGGGTGCCCTTGATGAGGTTGTCGATGTCGACCTCGTGCTCCTTGCCGGGCGGGATGGCGGGGAAGAGCTTGATGGTGGCCTTGGCTTCGCTGGGGGCGCCAGGCTGAAAGAGAGATATAGACAAAGAGAGAGCTAGAGGGGAGAGAGAGAGACCCCACCTTCTTGACGACCTCCACCGTCCTCGACTCGCCCATCGGCATGTGGCCGAACGGCTCGAGCCCGATGGCGTAGTTGGCCGGGTCGCTGTTCTCCACCTGGAAACGTTACGGTCAGGGGGCAACAAAATTCGAATATTGCATGACTCTGAAGCTCGAAAATCGGCGAAATGACGGCCGAAAAAACCCACAAAGTAGCTGTACTTCTTGGTGTCGGGGTTCTTGAGGCGGAACTTGCGGATCCGCCGCCGGCTGGCAGCTGGACGACGGCCGGCTCGCAGTGGGCTGCTTTGCTCATGTTGATGGGGGAATGGTGAGGGTCGGCCAAAAATTCGCTAATATACTCGAAAACCTAGGGTAATTAAGGGTTGTGGCGGCCGGAAGCCATGTAGATGATATCGAAAATATAATTCAGATTTAATGCAGATTTTATCACAATTTTTCAGGGAAACCGAAGAAGACCGACTGCGCGACGTGCGCATCTGGCGCTACCAGTCGGCCATCGAGTTTTCGGAGGGCCGGAAGGGGGCGACTTCAAGGCTTGTCGGCTTTTCCGTCGGCTTCATCCTTCTCCTTGCGTTACTGTAGCCTACAGTACCCTATCGGTCAGTTTTTAATTAGTCACAAATGCTTGGTTTTTGCTGGTTTGTCGCTTTCAAGGTTTTCCTTGTTCTGGGTTCATAGGGGTATAAAGAGACTGCTTGTGAGTCGAGAGAGAAAGAGCCTCTAAAGCGAGATAACGGGAGAGAGAGTGGGAGAGAGAGAGTGACAGAGATAGAGAGACAGAGAGAAAGAGAACGCAGGCATAATTTCCTCGCTACACAAGCCCTTTAAAAACTCTTGATTTCGCAGTTTTAACCCTTCTAACCCCCTCATCTCCCCATTCCCCCATTGTACCCCCGGCTATCGTAGGCGCACGTTGTCTCTAGCTTCTGCTAGCCTCGGCCGCGACCCCCGAAATCCGAAGATTTCGTCCGACTGACTCGCCCCTCTGATGGCACCCAGTGCAAATGGAACCTCGTTATCGTATGCCCCGAGGGGGGTGGGAAACGGAGCGAGAGGAAGGGGGGAGGGCCCAATTTAGGGCCCATGACCCGGGGGCACGACCACAAAAGGGGCCCACCCCAGTTTGTCTCCGCCGCCCCGGCCACTGCCCTACTATCACCCAACACCATCTTTTTTGTGGCGTCCTGGCTGTATGACTACGGTAGCCGCACGTTTTTTTGTGGATTCCGGTTTTTTACGGGGTTTTAATAGAAAGGTCTCTTGCTCTCTCTCTCTCTCTCTCTCTCTCTCTCTCTCTCTCTCTCTCTCTCTCGTTCACTCTCATTTCACTCTTTGTCTATATCCCTGTCTCTCTCTTTCTCGCTTTCTTTTTTTTTCATTTTCGCTTTAGGTTTTTGCGATTACGATAGGTTATTAGGATGGTTTTGATTTTTGATAACCCTATATATTTTTAGGGGATTTTTAAGCCAAAATATACAGCCTTAACCTCGAATATCTTTCTCTCACTTCACCATATATCCTTCTATCTCTCGCTCGTTCTCTCTCACTCTCTCGCAATCTCTCTCACTCGTCCCTCTCTCTCTCTCTCTCTCTCTCGCTGTTTCACTCGCATTTTACTAAAGTTACTCCTCACGCCCCGAGTTCGCCGTATACTTCGCAAAACCTACGCTACCCTCTGTTCCCCTGGGACCCCGCAATCCAAGTTTTTATCTCCCACAACTCGTCATCAGCTTCATCTCTCCATAGTCCCTAGGTACCCAATTGTGAACCCTTGGCTAGAGGGAGCACGGGGAATCCAAAGATATAGAGATGGAGGGAGATCACGACGGTGATGAGCGACCGTCGCGACGTGAGCGCGTCCGGGTAAGAAAGGGGTGGTTGGAGTTGCTATGTCGCTGCTTTACAGGGACTCGGAAGTATAGATAGGCTGCGACTTAGGCTTGGGCTTGGGCATAGGCTCGGGCTTGGGCTTAGGCTTAGGCTTAAGCATAGGCTTAGGCTTGGGCTTACAAGGGAAGGGCACATGCACAGGTTGGAATTTCGAAAAACGCTGGCGGCTACCCCGGGGTAATCGACGACGGAGAACACGATGCTGTCGTCCGATTTTCCTGCCGAGGCTTGTGGACAGAGATACAGCACTTCCGGAAAATCATGATTTGCATGCGAAAAATTAGAATCCGGGGAAGCTTTATTAGGCTCTCCCATCAGTATGCAATCACCAGTCGAGTGGCCGATTGGTAAGCAACTCTCTTGGTAGGATACTGACGAGGGTACGGATCCGCTCGTGATTTTTTCGTTTTGCTTTTTGACAAAATTTTTTGCACAAGTCCAGAACCTTTCCTAAATGTGTAAAAAGACGCCTTTGTGGCCTTGTAATACGTCTAGCAATCAAAGAAAAACTTTTTCGAAAATTCTATTTTCCGACCCTCCACCCATCATCGACTGCCAAACGATCAAAAATTCTGCGGGAAAATTTTTGCAGAAGCCAAGCGCCACGCTCTCGTTTGGTTTTGTAGCACCTTATCCTGTTGCACGGCCCTGGCAAGTTGGTTAGACAGCGCTTTTATAAAAATTTTCCAGATTTTTTGAATTTGATAAGCCGGTGGGTGGGATGCCTAAAAAATCGCAAAAATAAAATTTTCGAAAAAGTTTTTCTTTGATTGCTAGACGTATTACAGGGCCACAAAGGCGTCTTTTTACATATTTAGGAAAGGTTCTGGACTTGTGCAAAAAATTTTGTCAAAAAGCAAAACGAAAAAATCACGAGCGGATCCGTACCCTCGTCAGTATCCTACCAAGAGAGTTGCTTACCAATCGGTCACTCGACTGGTGATTGCATACTGATGGGAGAGCCTAATAAAGCTTCCCCGGATTCTAATTTTTCGCATGCAAATCATGATTTTCCGGAAGTGCTGTATCTCTGTCCACAAGCCTCGGCAGGAAAATC